AAGTCAAGGAAATTTTAATCTTTGCCTGTGAATTTTATATATTTGGCATTTTATAAAACTTTCAGTTTCTTAATTAGGGTAATGAAAAAATTACCATGCTTAGTGAAACTGTCATGCTGTTTGGTTAGACCCCATAATTTAGGTCTTTGCTTAAAGATATTAAAGAATGTCTAATTTAAATTTTCCTCCGGGTATAATAACATATCATATGACTTAAATAGTATTCCACTGTCCTGAGCAAGGATAGTCATTCTTTGGCCCAAGGGCTACATATAGCCAGCTCCTTAGAGGTTTATGTGCAGAATTTGAAGCATGCTTGTTAAAAATAATTATTATTACAAATTGTGTCAGTGCCAGATTAAAAGTAAAATTAAGATATTTTAAAAATCTAAAATAATGTTGTGACAAATAAAGGATATATCTAAACAAAGTAGCAGAAATATTTTCTTGCTATGCATTAGCATTTAAATATTCCTATCATGTGACAGTGGAAATAGTCTATAGATTCAAAGAAATTTTGAGTTTAAAATAACCCATTCTTGAAGGCATAATATAAAACCTACTTTAGGAGCCTCAAAGTAGATGATTACAAGTGGAAAGGAAAAATCAAAGTTTAATAGACTGGGAGATTATTGTTGCTGTTGAACACAGGTAAAGAGAGATGTGCCTTCTGTATGGCTGGAATTGCTCCACTGGAATCTTTCAATTTATTAATACATTTAAATCAATTTCCATATTTTTTGGAGTATGGCATAATTTTTTTCTACTATTTTAAATTTATCAGGCTTTCAAATAGAAAAGTTATTTTTAATTATCTCAAATAATTAAAAATAGAAATAAAAATAGGAAGAAATCTTCCTCTGAGGGTATTTATTAAAACATCAGTGATCAATTTGCAATATTGTCACAGAAAGTAATAATCTTTGAGATGAAATTAAGATTAGAGAAATTATAGCATGTTGATAGGAATGAGCCAATAGAGAGGAAAATTAAAGATGCAGTAAAGAATGCTAGAGAAATATCCTTAAGCAAGAGGGAATAAAAATCTCGTATACAAGTGAAGGGATTGGTCTTATGAACAGTGATTGTTCATCCATAATACGGAGAAGGAAGAGTTGCCTGGGCACAGATACATGTGGAGATAGATGTGGTGGAAATTCTGATTTCTTCTGTTTTCTGAGTGAAAGTGAGAATGAAAGGGAAGAGACACACTTGTCTGATATTTTTCTAGAAGAATAAGAGAATGAATGGACCAACGTTGCCAAACAGCTCTTGAACCAATTTTAGGATTAAAAGATTTATAAAGGAAAATTATTTTTGTTCACAGATGACATGATCTTACATGTAGAAAACCCCTGATTCCATACACGCCACGCATACGCACAAAACAATTTATAACTAATAAACTCAGCAAAGTTGCAGGATACAAAGTCAACACTCAAAAATCTGTTGCATTTCTGTGCACTAAAAAGGAATAATCCAAAAAGGAAATTAGGAAAACAATTCCATTTACAGTAGCATCAAAAAGAATAAAATGCTATGAATAAAATTAACCAAGATGGTGAAGACTTGTACACTGCAAACTGTAAAACATTGCTAAAAGGAATTAAAACATAAATGGAAAGACATCCAGTGTTTATATATTTGGTGTTCTAATATTGTTAAGATGACAGTACTCCCCAAAGTGCTCAACAGATTCAATGCAATCCCCATAAAAAATCCCAGTGACTTTTTTTGCAGAAATAAAATTCATATGGAATCAAGGGACATCAAATAGCCAAAACAAATCTTGAAAAAGAACAGTTGGAGTTCTCACACTTCCTGATTTCAAACTTAATTCAAAACCATGGATATCAAACAGTATGATACTGGCATAAATGAGACATATAAACCAATGGAACATACTAGATGTCCCAGAAATAATCTCTTGCATATATGTGCAAATGGTTTTTGATGAGTGTGCCAAGACTTTCAATGGGAGGACAGTATTTTTAACAAATGGTGTTGGGAAAACTGGATATCCACTTGCAAAGAATGAAATTGGACACTTACACCATATATGGAAATTAATTTGAAATGGATTAGAAACCTAGATATAAATAAAACTATAAAACTCTTAGAAGAAAACATAGGGGAAAGCTTTTTAACATTGGACTTAGCAATAATTCCTTGGATATGACACTAAAAACACAGGCAACAACAACAGAAAGATAAATTGGACTTCATCAAAATTTACAACTTGTGCACCAAAGGGCACTCAAAAGAGTAGCCTGTAGAATGGGAGAAAATATTTGCAAATTATCTGATAAGGGATTAATATCCAGACTATATGAAGAACTCCTATATAACACAACAGCAAAAAACAACCCAGTTAAAAACAACAGTTGGGCCAGCCGAGTGGCTCAGCTGGTTAAGAGCTCGCTTGGAAGCACCAGCTCTGAGTAGCAGGGCTGCGGTTCGGATCCCAGGTTCGGATCCCACATTGAGGGCCAGTGACGCTCGCCCTCTACAGCTAAAATGATGAACAACAGCTTGACCTGGAGCTGGGCTTCTGTGAGTCACTGACAACGGCATAGGCTGCAGTGGGGCTGCCGTGAGCTATGTGAGTGGCTGGCAGCCAGCGTGAGCAGCAGGCAGCTGGTGTGAGCTGCCAAGAGCCGCCGTGAGCGGCCAATCAATGACCGGCGACTGATTGCCTCACCCGGGAAGAGCACAATGATCATACCAGCATGGGCCAGTGAAGCGATGTCCTCCACAACTAGACTGAAGAACAAAACAGCAATTCGTCTACCTGTCTGTTCCCCTTCCCCGATTCCCCGATAAAATCTTTAAAAAACAAACAAACAAACTGAACAGTGGACTTCTTTCCAAAGAAGATATTCAGATGGGCAATAAACACAGGAAAAGTTACTCAACATCACTAATCATTTAGGATATGAAAATCAACCACAATGAAGTACCACATCACATCCATTAGGATGGCTAAAACAAAAAGAAGAGAAAATACAATAAGTGTTGGCAAAGATGTCAAGAAATTGGAATCCTTATGCATTGTTGATAGAAATCTAAAATGGTACAGCTACTGTGGATAGTATGGCAATTCCTCAAAAAATTAAAAGTAGAATTACCATGTGATTCAGTGTTTCTACTTTTGGGTATATAGAATTGAAAGCAGGACTCAAGCAGATATTTGTATACTGTGTTCATAGTAGCATTAATCATAACCACAAGATCAAAACAACCTAAATGTCTATAGAAAGATAAAATATAGTCTATACATACAGTCAAATATTACTCAGCCTTAAAAAGGAAAGTGATATATGCAACAACATGGATGAACTTTGAAAAACTTAGGCTAAGTAAAATAAGCCAGATGAAAAAGGACAAATATTGTGTGATTCCATTTATGAGATACCTAGAATAGGCAAATTTATAGATACAGAAAATAGAAGGGTGGTTTCAAGGGGATGTGGGAATGGTCAGTTAGTATTTAATGGGTACAGTTTAAATTGGTGTGGATAAAAAGGTTCAGGAGATGGAGAGTGGTGATGGTTGCACAGCATTGTGAATGAACTTAATGCCATAGAACTGTACACTTTAAAATGGTAACATTTATGTTAGACATATTTAACCACAATTTTAAGAAATAATAAAAACATTTTTTAACTGTTGAAGGGTTTTTTTTTTAAGTTTTTAAAAACTATTTGCATTTTGAAGTATTCACATTTCTTTCAAGAATGGTACACTTGGCTTAGTTTAAAATGTATATCAACTTTGCAAAAAGGAAGGATTGGAATTGAAATGACCTGGTTGATTTCTTGTTGTCTGAAATAATCATTCATTTGATTTTGAAACAGTCGTTTAATGTATACACCCACTGTCCACTGTGTGGGGGCAAAGAACAACATATAGTCTTGAACAGTTATTTGTTTCATGACTTTGTATCTTATAATTTAAATTATTTTAAATTCCTCCTGGGAAGGAGTTGTGTCTGTCTTGTACACTAGTGTACTGACTAGTGTAACAACTGGGACAGTGGCTCCCACATAGTAGGTGTTCAATAAAATACTTATTGAATGAAAATGTATACATATAAATTTTGTATACTTGTAAATGTCATGTGTACACTTTGAAAAGTCGATGTGGTTTTGTCTTGAAAGTGGGTTTGAGGGAGGAAGGTAGCCTAAAGGACAGCTTCTTAATGTATCAATAATTGATAAATACAAAGGAGTACTGTATTATGTATTTCTCATGAATTGCAAAAATTTCTTTTGGTTACATATTGAAAAATGTGCAGAAACTTAAGACTAGTATGTGAGATGTGAAACAGGTTGCTCAGACAGGAGATTAGTTACATATATTTTTTAATGGAGAAAATATTCACAAAAAATTAATATGGAATATGACAGTAGTGTTCTGTATAAACAATTAGATATTAGAAGGCATGCACAAATTTCAGTTCATATCACCTTATTCTGTAATAGAAATATTGTAACTTTAGCATAGCCATTTTAATGGTGAAAAAACTGGCAAAAGAGTTTGTCAAGGCTTAAGCTAGAGCAGTAGCAGCTTTCTGGTATATTTTAGAGAAGTAATTTCATTCTTACATCTAAGTAAGTGGAAATTGTTTAGGATTATACTTCCTTTCCTGGTGGAGAGTAGAGACAGGTAGGGGATAGGAAGATCAAGAACCATACAAAGTTAACTCATCTTTTCAAGACTTCATATTCCAGAATTATTTCTTATATAAAGTGATATCCAATTTTGACAGAATAACTGCTCTAAAAGGGAGATAAATGTTGAGAGTAAAATAATATTTGGATTTTTAAAAACAAAGGACATTGGTTTGCTTGGGGCCTTTTGTATATTTTTGCTTTTATTAAAATATTTTCATGTGACTTCTAGTCTTTTTCTTTAAAAGTATATTTTCATTTTGCTATCTTAAGTTTATTGAAACTAAGTTCTTGTATGCCATTTCTTATTTTTCCCTTGACATGAAGTCTATTACCTACTTGATGAAGATGTCTTTTGAAAGATGTACTTCAAGGAATGAAACGCTGTTTGTAACTTACACTTTTACCAAGGTAAAGATCAAATTTTATGAATTTACTTTTTATAAAAGGAAAAAATAATTTCATACATTGTATACATATAAGTTTGATTAAATATTGTAACTGTTGACTTACTAAATTGACACAGGAAAAATGCTTTTCCTCATGTTATACATCTTTGTGTTCCTAACATATAGCAATGTGCTTGTCATGTAGTAGACTTTCCTTAAATTTTTGATGTAGAAATAAATTTCATTATCTTACTTAAAAGCTTCTAAGAAATAACTATGCACACATGTCAATGTTAGAATCTTTAAACATGAATTATCTAATGGATTTATCCTTTTCTCTAAAAGAAAATTTTTTTGTATCTTTAGGTACTGTGTGTTTAAAAAAATAAAACCTTGGAGTAAAGTAGCAGCACATAATGGTTTGTGGGTTTTGAAAAGGTGCAGGCCATATTGTGCTGCCTCAAAAATACAAGGATCTGATCTTCTGAAGAAAATGTATTTTTTTTTTATTCATAGCTCTTATGATAGTGATGTCAGCAGTGCCTTAGCAGCACGTAAATATTGGCGTTAAGATTCTAAAATTATCTCCAGTATTAACTGTGCTGCTGAAGTAAGGTTGGCCATATTCTGCAGTTATATTTTAATATATATTAATATTACTAATGTACTTTCAGTTTTATTGATAATGTATTGTCAGTACTATTGATAATCTTATGTGTAGTAGAATTCAGTGTAAATATTCAGATTTTTATATGATTAAACAAAAATATTTATTTCCCCTTTCTCTAGTAAAATGAAAGATATTTGCTTATCTCACAGATAAATATACATTATAAGATATATATTTTGAACAGAGCTTAGAAGACTGTTTAGTGAAGAGGGAAAGTATCAAAACATACAAATTAAATTCTGGAAATCCTGAGCCTCAAGATGTACTTAATCATAATTTTAAAGGTAGAAAAGATCTTACAGATGACCGGCCTATTCCTTGGGTATCTTAGGAAACACAAACTCAAATTAAGTAATTTGCTACACATGACAGATTAGGATCTTAACCCTATGCCTTCTGACTTAATACTCGCGTATTGTTTTCTCCTGTTTTTATTAAAATGTTTTAAATCCTTAGCCGAAGATTTTTGTTTGACAAGTCGAAAATAGAAGGCCTTGTTTTCTTTTTTGTATCCCAATAATGAGGTTCCGAGTAAGACCAAAAATTATTGTAGTTATTAATTTTGTAGATACAAACAGTCAAAATTTTTAATTAAATTTGAAGGAAAATGTTTTCTTTACCTTCTGTTTCTTATTTGTTGGTGTTTTATTAAGTCATTAACTAAAAATTGATGTTCAGGATAAGACGAACGTGTTTGTGTAGTGTTCCATACTTCTGGTTTTATTTCCTGCAAGAACTGTCTTACCCTTTTCTGTTGTAACCAAGCAGAAAATCTACAAAATAAAAGAAGTTCTTAAAGAATCATTTCCAATTACAGCTGTCTATTTTGGAAACCCTAAAAGTGTATCAGATGTAATTTAAGGAATCAAGGATCTTCTGTTTAAATTCTAATTTGAAGGTAAAGGAAAAATAAGACAAAGCTCTCATTTTTAAGAACAATCATTTTATTTCCAGCAGTCCCCCCCCCCCAAAATAAAGAAGCAATACACCATATTGCTAGAATTGCCAGCTTTTACATGGAAATAATATTGCCTGGTGCTTTTAACAATCGTTCATCAAGCTCTTAATCTCTTTTCTTTATTTCAACCATTTTATGAAAGACTGTAATAAATATATGATAATCCTTGGTTTCACTAAAAATATTCCAGGATCTAATACATAGATGCTTAGAAATAGTAACTGAATGAATTACATAGTTTGTCCAGTACTTTCCAGAACAACCCAGGAGTTTGATTTCTTTTTTGTTTTGTTTTGTTTTCTTGAATGTATTTGAAGTCAGATTGTAGAAAGTTATATTTAATCTGCCTTCCAAATGGCAGAGAGAAAACTTGGGTTTTACATTTACTAGGTGAATCTTTTTATATCGTTGTGCTCCCGGTGTGAAGAACCGTTTGAGGCTATTATAGCTAAATAAAAACTTCCTGCTTTATCCTGAGAGTGAATTAAAGAAAAAATTGAAATATTAGAAGAGTAAGATAATCTATTGCATTGAAATTTATTGTAACTGTGTCCAGCTTCTTTCCAGTCTTGTACTAGAGAAGAAGAAATTGCTTGTCAATGCCTAATGAAACAATTAGGTAATTCAATGGGACTGGAAGTTTTCATTGTAAGAGTTAATATATTTCCATCTTTGTATAATTTTGGAACACAGAGAACAAATAGTAAAATAAAATATTAATCTCAATTTGGCTATTTATCTTGCAAGGAAGAAGTAATATATTGGTGTATATTGTTTTCATTTTTTTACACCTTCTTTGGGGAAAAAATTTCTAATCTTTTCCATTCGGGTTTCTTTTTAAGTTGATGCCAAATAATTCCAATGTTGAGCATCTTAAATCTGTTACTTGGAGTATGGATTGAGTTTGGAGCTAACTCAGAGGACTGCAGGCAAGTATCCAGGAGACAGCGAGAGGAATATTCAACAATTCAGTTTGCATCCTATTTTCAAATGCAAATCTTTGAAGATTACACATGTTGATACGTGATAGTGGATTTGAAAATTTGGCCATACACTAAATTCTATATTTAATAATAAAGTATTCTTCAGTTATATATTCTTTAGGTTGTTACAGAAGTAAAGGTGTTTTAAGGTACTAAATGTCATTACCGATACATGTCCATGTTAGCCATAATTGGATTACCAAAATTATACTTTCGTGAACTATGACCTCTCTCTAAGGTATTTATTTATTTATTTAGAAGTTGACTTTCTAAATCAATTTTTTTTTCCTTTTACAGGTGGATATTACTGTCCCTTATTCATGGAAAAAGTTTTATTCTAAGTGTTGTTTCTCATTGAGTATTAACAAAAAGGAGAAAAATTAGTGTCTTAAACTTTTAAGATAGATTTGGCTCTAGTGAGTCTTTAGACATAGAGGTCTGACAATTAAGTTTGCAAACTTGCCACCGTGCACTTATATTGGCAGCACTGTACAAACAGCTAGGTAAGGTTTCATAACCTTGGTACATCAGTGTCTCACAACTGTGTTTGTGTCGATGTGTGGCAGTGTCTTGCTGAGTGACATTGTTGTGTATTTTTGTGTGCTGTCGCAAGAATGTCTGAGCTTGAATTAGAGCAATGAACAAACATTAAATTTCATGTTAAACTTGGCAAGAGTGGAAGTGAAATCAGGGACATGTTAGTCCAAGTTTATGGGGATAATGCCATGAATAAAATGGCAGTGTACACATGGATTAAACGTTTTTCTGAGGGGAGAGAATGCATCATTGATGAAGAGAGGTCAGGGCAGCCAGTAATGAGCAGAACTGACGAAAATATTGCAAAAATTCATCGAATTGTGCGTGAAAATCGATGGCTGACTGTGAAACATAGCAGACCAAGTGAACGTCAGTAGAGAAACAGTTAGGAAAATAGCATGAGAAAGGTGTGTACAAAAATGGTCCCGAAGGAGCTCACTGATGAACAAAAGCAAAGGAGAGTTGAAGTTTGCCAAGACCTTTAGGATAGGCAAGCGATGTTTGGGGCCGTGTTATCACTGGTGATGAAACATGGGTGTACCAATACGACCCTGAAACAAAGCGTCTAAGTGCACAATGGAAGTCAGCCAATTCTCCACAACCAAAAAAGTTCCATCAGTCCAAATCAAGAGTCAAGATGATGTTGCTAACCTTTTTTGATATCAAAGGGATTATTCATTATGAATTTGTACCAAATGGACAGATAGTTAACCAAGTTTACTATTTGGAAGTGCTGAAAAGGCTGCATGAAAAAGTTGACCTGAACTTTTCACCAACAATTCATGGCTTGTGCATCACAACAATGCACAGCTCACACGGCACTGCCTGTGAGGGAGTTTTTAGCCAGTAAACAACTGTATTGGAACACCCTCCCTACTTACCTGATCTGGCCCCCAATAACTCCTTTCTTTACCCAAAGATAAAGGAAGTATTGAAAGGAAGCCATTTTGATAACATTCAGGACATCAAGGGTAATAGGGACAACAGCTCTGATGGCCATTCCAGAAAAAAAGAGTTCCAAAATTGCTTTGAAGGGTGGACTATGCACTGGCATCGGTGCATAGCCTCTTCCCAAGGGGAGTACTTTGAAGGTGACCATAGTGATATTCAGCAATGAGGTAGTACTTTTTTAAGGATGAGTTCGCAAACTTAATTGTCAGACCTTGGTATTACTTGTGTATCTGGGAGAAGAAATAAGAGGTCATCATCAGTACGTTTT